AGTCAAAGACTACTAATACATCCTCGATTTACACTTTTATTATATTAAGTGTATGTTTGGCTTATAGGACAAGGGGAGGTTAGTCACCAGTTGCTTCTCATCTACGACTAGTTATCTTTTGTTTCCGTGATGAGTTTGTTCATACATGTATTCTAGTAAGTTGTTTATTAATCACGTGAGATCTCAAAAACTATTTGTCCAAAATCCCTTCACCCTCATATCAGAAAATAGGCTATAAAAAGTAAAATCTAGATATGTGAAAATATGCAGTATTCTATTTGAAATTTTTGAGGAAAACTCCGTTTTCTGTTTTTCATCGCTTTGAATATTTTTTGAGATGCATACTTGTTTCCGCATATCTGTCCAAAAATCCGTAGTGTGAGATGATAAAGGATCGGCTACTCATTAGAACTGGATTTCCTGTGGAGGAATGGGCCATTACTGTAGTATAGAAGTAATGTTGAAGCCAAGACTGATCTCTGGGAGCATCTGCATTGAAGAAGAGAAAAATCATCGGGTACAATGACCAGGCAGATAGTCTATCCAACTGCAAAGTCTCTTTGGGAAATAGTTGCACTAAAGTCTTGCTAAGAATAGCGGCATGCCACAGCTGCTTGAAAGCTAAACACCAATGGTATAAGCCTATTCAAACGGCTGGATGCACTTACGTCACAAGTGTGTGGCATAACGAGGGAGGTTCCCAGTTGCTCCTTGATGACAGAATCGTTACTATCTGCTTGGAAGTCAGCGATGAATTAAATACGTACACGATGATTTCAAGTACCCCTTAAAAAATGTCATAGTTAAAATATCTTTGGCCAATCTGCTGGTATTAGGTTATTTCAAGAATAAAATGGTTTATCAGAAGCATATTTATGTAAGTAAGCTAATTCTGTCCGAGCATTTTGCTAGATTATCCTCCAAATATAATAGAGACAGCGTTAATGACCTATATAGTTTGTACTAATTCTGGAACCGCTTTATTGCGCAACCACTTGACACTCGTCGAGGATTGGAATGGTGGATAGCGCGATCCCGAGAAGAATTGGCATCTGTATACATGAAATTGACAAAATCAGTTAGAGTAACCATAAGCTCAGGTACATTTTAAAATAGTCTCCATAAATTTCTGTATATTATCTGTACAGCTAGCTGAGTAAGGTTAGTAGAACAAATGTAACATGGTTGCTCTAGCCAAATCGGGAGATGGCATTTGGACGCGACGTTGTCAGACAGTCAAAAATTTCAATGAACTCACTGTTCATAAAAATAAACGAGGCGGTATAAGAAATTAAATATGTAAACATGTTTGTATTTATAAGTATATCTGGCTACTATGTAGTCAAGAACTGTTTCGAAATTCTTAAAATTTCATTCTCATTTTACTTTCTTGAAATTCATAAATATTTTTAATCATTTTATACACTCCACTATTGGGCCGATGGTTGTGGCACCATTATTTGAATAATGTTTGTATTTCAAACAGCGAGACTTGAGAATTATTGAAAGATTATTGCAGATTAGATTACGGCAAGGCGTTGAATATTGTTAATAGGTACGTACGTCTTTAGGCTCTACATCCAGCTCTCATCCTTTAATAATACTCTATAGCCTTGACACACGGCTTTATTATATGCAGCATACCACATTTGGATTTTTGATCTCCAGAATCTAAAATCTTGACCTTTCAAGCACTAACGCAAAATACAGGAAGTGCTTCTGCAAGCCCGGCTTTTATTCAAACCTAGCAGACAATGACTATTGACACTCTAGTTGTATAATGTGATCAAATTAGGTTGATGTGGAAAGACGGTACACCACATTCATAGAAGTAAGTTACAAATATGCCGTTTATATCGGTGTTACAATGTAACATTTTTGAAAATCGTATTTACTTTCTCCATGAATCTAGGTACTTTTGTGAGGGTTGACAACAAGAAGAAGTGGAGGGAAAGCCAACCTATCATGACACTGAGGTAAATAAATGGGAACTGAATAAACAACGTTTTCCATGGAATTGGTATTACAGATTTGATGATCCAGAACAGCATGGCAACTTACATTATTGAAATCTTTATCCTTTTCCCGTTGATGACTGAAATAATCATAACGAATATAACTAACACTACGGCGAGTTACCTTAACAAGTCTCCGGATCAGTTGCGGATGAATATTGACATCGAGTCTTTCGCCTAATAAAGCATTTATAAAAATGGTTCCGAGAAAGTCATTTATTAATCTTCTTATTAGAAATTATCGAATATGTATCTAAAACATGCTAACATTTCGGAATCTTATCCTAGCACGTACGTACATGTTGTTTATGATAAATTATTTTGAAAGTGAAATTGAAAATGGTGAATTGAATGATTCTATAGTTTTTTCGAGGAAGTCGTCACTATGCCAATAGATAATTCAACACGTACTGGATGAATGACATAATATACACCCATGCCTAGATTTTGGCAAGGAAATCAGCAAGTGTCTAGAACTATTTTCAACTCAAGTCCATTTAGAATTTGCGAATGGTTTGACTCAAACTTTAGTAATCTGTAACAACATTTAACTTAGGTACCTAAAATTCGTGATATGAGAATCTAATGGATACAAGTTGATTTACATAAATCACTAGCGCACAAACTATTATTAGAAATAAATCATCTCGTAGTCCATAGAACAATAATTTAGAAGATAATTGTAATATTAGGAATTATAAAAAATACAAGTAGTTCTTTAGTTACAGTTTTAAAAGTTCTTTTTTCGATACATTTGCTGGTATTTTTCAAATCGTCATTATTATTTTTTCTAAAAAAGATTTAATAAACCGGACCCATGAGTGAGGAAAGTAAATATGAACGATAATGTGAATCAACGCCGTAACATTACCTCAGCGTTGTTACATCAGTTAACATTTTAATTTTTAACTATTATAATAAACTGCATGGCTTTATTTTAGAAGATTCCACCTCGAAATAAATTTCACTTAACGAGAAGTGATGATCAGATAAGGATTAAAGTTTTCCACTCTGAATTCATATATACCAACGCAGAATCAGCAAAATGGTTTATGGGTATACTTAGGAAGATTACCAAATTTGTTTTTTGCATATGAATGTTCAGAGAATTGTATTTTCAGTAGAAAGCAATCTTGAAGGCACTGCATGAATTTTTTAAAATATTAAATCTTAATTACATATAGCCAGACTTCATTTGTTTATATGTAACATATTTAACGGTTTCGAAAAATGATCAAAATGTTACCGCTAAGAGTCAAAAATATGACAAAACCTGACACAGTATAGTATAGGTATATCTCCCAAAATGTTCATGCATATTTAGTCTGGATCAACGTTTATCCACATAGCATAAACCTTTTATTGGAATGAAAATTAACTATACTAAAAACTATAATAGAACTTTCGAAAAATATGGCTTACGAAAATCTAAATTTGTTTGTTTGTTTAGTTGGATGTCAATTTACCAGTATATATAAAGAAATCACATGCATTTGCCTAGTAAACTGTGGATAACAATTAGTTCAAACCACCTCACACTCTGCGCCTGCGTTTTGTTCAAAGAATTTTATTAGTGTAGGGCAACATTAGAGAATTCAACTAGTTCATAACAAGCGAATGAGTGTTGTATTTTTACTGTTCTTAGTTTTGGTCAATCGAGGCATGTAATCTGTGAAAAATTCAATACAGTAATCTGAGCTTATGGATTATTTATGTGCTTAGTGTTATTTGGTGGAGTAGTAGTGGTGAAGAGGCTAAGCCTAGCCACTAGGCCACCTTTGAGCCTTTTTGGAGACCCAGTAGCACAATCAGGAGTAGTATACTAGGTGGCAGTATCAAAAAAGTCAGTAGTGTTACAGTAATCATGCTTAAACGAATCAGCTTAAGTAGTTTATAGATCCCTCATAGTGCGATTTGCGGTGATGAATCTCTTGAGCACAAACAACTGGGATAATGAATTTCATTTTGGATAGGATACTTGGTGTTGATAAAATGACCAGCAAAGCAATATCCCAAAGAGCAGCAGATCGCTATTTTTCTGATCATGATCGTTAGGAAGTATTATAACCGCCAAAAATAATGAAATCCTGATATTCTGTTTGTCTGTCACCTGTCCGGTAATATTTGGCCCCTCTTTGGTCTTCAAGTACAACTCAGATTTGAATGATGTTTCAAAGCAAATCTATTGCCATTCCAAAGGCGAAAAGGCATTTTAAGTTTTGAAAGTCTGGTGGCGCCAGAGCTATCAGCGAGAAACGAAAAACTCCAGAATATCTTTCAACTCCGTGTTTCAATGTTATACAAATTCTTGGTCATGTGAGAATATAATACAACAAATCAGATTATTAAAAAGCTTTGGCGATAGGGATTTCTCTTATCAATGAAGCTTAGGGCCTAATTTTACATGGATTTATATTAATGCGTTAGATAATCTACTATGGAAAATATTGTTAATTCATCCATCACATTGTGATAGTAACATATTTTAGTTAGAAAATACAGTTGATAATCTGATAAATCAGCATATCTGTTTTTAAAGGTTATTACATATATTAAATGCAAGATATATTTAGGTGAACGAAACAATGATCTGAATAACTGATGGTACAGGTATTGTTATGCATAATACGTAATAACATTTCTGATAACGCAACTAGTCGACCGCCCAATTGATAGGACCTGGCCCTTACCTCATCCCAACAATAATGCCGAATACAAACGTTTTATAAACATCGGTATGAAACATTCAGCTGCCCTGTAAGGACTGAGTAATTTGAGGCTGACCGAATCGGCAGGAATAACAATCATGTCTCTCCACTTCGGGCCAAGATTTGGCATTCCTCATAGCAGGCATAAAAACAATCCTATCACTGCAATCCTGTGACAATCTGACAACACCGCCCATCGCGACGGACACTCAATACACCGAGCGCGTGGTTCCTGGATAGCAGAGTAGGGATCAGGGTACACTGTCTCGTCACTTACACCAGAATACCGCCACGTAATCCTTCTCGTGCAAGATCCTCTCCAGTTGTTTGGAGGTGACTTCTTCTATGACTTCGCCATCCTGGTCGCTGTCCTGGTGGGTTGCTTTCTTGGCCAGTGCCGCGGTGGCGACCAGGAGGAGCAGGAGGTACGTCCTTGAAGGCCACCACATGCTGATCTGCTGCTGCACCCCCTACGGAGATGGTGACGCACCAGGTGCCGTTCGAATCAATTCCGCGCGCGGCCACACTCTGCTCCAACTCCCGAAATACGACGGCTGCCGCGACGATTGCTCCTGATCATCCCACCGCGATCCCAAGGGCTATTTTTAGGCTAAGCACACACCGCTGATGATAATTCCGAACTTTCACTTTTGCCAGGCGCCCGCGCCAATGAGGTTTCGCATTCAGACACCCGCATATCTCCCTATCATGATATCCTAGGTGGTGTGGTTAACATCTTGGAGCAGTAGATCAATATGTGTTTCAGAAAATCGTACCAATATTTCTAGGGCACAAAGTACATCCAAAAATAACAAAAGAAGTTCTTATAAATAAGGGTCCAAAGACACTTCCCTACCGAGATACAGGGTGATGAAGTTTTATTTATAAAATTTGAATAAAATGTATAGAGAAAATGATCATGCAGAGACAGGTGATATATATATATATATATATATATATATATGGTATATATATATATATATATGTGTGTATATACACATACAGGGTGGCCCATCCATGTGTAGACGAAATATTACTCATAAACAAATACATTTTGGGAAAACCTATTTATGGCATGTTATACATGACATTTGCGGGCACATTACTAAAATATTGGCAATTATACAGGGTGTCCCAATTTTGACCTACATATCAAAGCTGTGATTTTTTAAATGGAATGCCTCAAATTTTATTGCATATTTGAATAAACCAATTCAAAAGAAGAAGATTGATGTAACATACTATGGGGTTTTGGTAATTATCTACTGAGATGTCAGGTGTTCTGTCCAGAAAAACCGTCCACTTCGGCAACCCCTCATTTCGCCATTTTGAAATTTGGAGTGCTGAATTTTATATAAAAAAAACTTACACACCTCAGCTTTTATCTTATCTATTACTTTATCGAATTTTCATTTTTGCTCATACAGGGTGGTCGAAAACGCGAATTGTAGTTTTTCTAAAAAATTTCAAATGCATCATCCTGTATATTTGTGCAGGTTTAGATTCAATTTTTATAAGCTTTTTTGTATAAGGTTGGATTCAGATAAATTCACTAGATTTTGAGTTATTAAGCTTTTAATATAACAGCACACCAAAATTGAAGAAAAAAATCGCATCATCCATGGAAACAAAAAACAAACAGTGGGCTAGTTCCATATTGCCCCACTAAGAGTACAGATTTGACGTAAAAACTAATAAAAATCAGAACAGTATGAATCAGCTTCAAGCGTAATAGAGAGAAATAACCGTAACAACATAAACAAACAACTATCACTACTCAAGACTTAATCTACAAAAAATTCTCGATAATATCTCCACCATGCTGAATACACAGCCGTGGTCTTTGGATAAATGACCGTTGCATATCGCTCAGCATGTGTTCGCTTATGTTCAGAAAAGCATCCTTAATCCTTTCTTTCATATTTTCCGGGGTAGATGGTGGATATCTATAAACCTCTTACTCAACATAGCCCCGTAGAAAGAAGTCCATTGGTGTCATATCTGGTGATCTAGGAGGCCAAGATATAGGCCCATCACGACCGATCCAACGATTGTTACTCCAGGTGTCCAAATAGTTACGCACACGATTATGATAATGTGCAGGTGCGCCGTCATGTTGGAAGTACATATGCATCCGAGTTTGCAGGTTCACATCCTCCAAAAGCAAAGGCAGATGCTCGATCAAAAAATTCAAGTAGTCTGTACCTGTTAATCTGTTGTCGAAAAAGAAAGGCCCGCTAACTTGTCTGCCAATAACTCCTCCCCAATCATTCAAGCTCCATTTACTTTGGAAATCTATTTGCCTAACCCAATAAGGGTTTTCCGGCACATAATATTGCATGTTGTGCCTGTTGACAACACCTATGCTGTTAAAAGTTGCCTCTCATCGCTAAAAAGAACATTATCCAGGAAAGTAGTGTCTTCACTCACTTTATTTAGCATTAATCTACTAAACTCCATTCGAGCTGCGAAATCCTGAGGAGGAAGGCCTTGATGCAAGCATAGGTGATATGGATGGTACCTATGCTTGTAAATAATCATTTGGACAGAAGTTCTGCATATATCAGTTTGTGCTCCAATTTGCCGTGCACTTAAAATGGGGATTTTCCTGCAACTTTAATAGAACCTCCAACGGATTCGCCTCATTGGTTTCACTTGGATTACTTATACATTTTTTACTATATTCCACTGCTCCACTTGATTCAAAACGTGCTCGTAGTGTGGAAAATCTTTCCGGCTTTGGATATCGCATATTAGGGTATCGTTGCCTATAAATGCGAGATGCCACGAAACCATTTCTTTGGGCTTCACCCAAAACGAACACCATATTCATCATTTGTTCTTTAAAAAAATTCATTTTCGAACACTTTTTTATTATAATGCTCACAAAGCTAATTTTGACAGTTTGTAACTAATCAACAATTTATTTGTTTCCAATGATGATGCGATATTTTAGGGAATTAAGCCGTTCCATAAAAGACGTGCTAATAACCGAAACAATAGCCGTAAAAACCCTTATGTGTCTAGTATCAAAAAAAGCTTATAAAAAATTGAATCCAAACTTGCACAAATATACAGAGTGGTGCATTTGAAATTTTGGAGAAAAACTACCCTTTATGAGCAAACATTTAAATTCAAAAAAGTAACAAATAAGATAAAAACCAAGGTGTGTACATCTTTTTGATACAAAATTTAGCAAATTTCAAAATGGCGGGCTGAGGGTTTGCTGAAGTGGGGGGTTTTTCTAGACAAAACACCATATATCTCAGTAGCTAATTACCAAAATTTTCTTATTTTGAATTGGCTTATCCAAATATGCAATAAAATTTGAGGAATTCCATTTGAAAAATCACAACTTTGATATGTAGGTCAAAATTGGGACACCCTGTATAATGGCCAATATTTTAGAAATGTGCCCTCAAATGTCATGTATATCATTCCATCAATAGATTTTTCCAAAATGTATTTGCTTATGAGTAATATTCCGTCCACACATGGATGGGCTACCCTGTATGTATATATATATACACAGACGCTTTATTTATACAGGGTGTGAAGTTAGTAGTGGATCAACGGAAGTCAGCTGACAGAGGGCCTCAAAACATGTCGAATGAACCTCTACATGTGTGGTCCGAAATTTTATAGTTCAGGAGATATTTGCAATTTTGTGAGATTTCGAAAAAAGATGGGACAATAAACTTTCAATCGCAATTACAACTAATCCATCAAGTCGTTTGAACCGTAGCTCGTATTTCTTCTTTACATGTATAGATACCCACCTGCGTCAAACATACAGATTTTTTAATGTGAGGCACCTATCGTAGCAAGGTGAAATTTTCATGGTTTATTCTACATGGATTGAAATAGTTTTTATGATAAAATGAATAATGAAATATAACATCAATTTTTCTCCACAGTTGAGAGATGGAAGAGATTTTCCACAAAAAAATGCATTTAAGATTTTTTACGCTGATTTCTAATAAGCTCTGTTAAAAAGTGACATAAGCATTGCTAAAACTAACCATTAAGCTCATCTGAGAAAAAAATCACAGCCTAATGGTTTAGTTGTAATTGCGATTGAAAGTTCATTATCCCTTTTTTTCCGAAATTTCACAAAATTGCAAATATCTCCTGAACTATAAAATTTCGGACCACATATATAGAGGTTCATTCGATAGGTTTTGAGGCCCTTTGTCACCTGACTTCCTTTGATCCACTACTAACTTTACACCCTGTATATATAACAAATATATACTAAGTGACATATAAATCCGAACTCCCAGTTTAAATGGTTTTATTTTAATAGTTGGTGAATGTATTTATCTTACTGTAAATAACAAGTGAAAAAATGTTCAGCCTTATCAGTTGGACATTCCGGTTTTTATACTGCTTTTTTTTAATTCACTAACGCTCTAAAAATGAATATTTCAGCCGCAGTAAAGAATCAACGTTGGCGGATTTTGGTTCTTGACATCCTTTACGATCGGTTACGATGCCTAGTGAGTTTGATAGGGGCCGTATAGTGGGACTTCGGGAAGCTGGACTTTCTTTTCGGGCAATTGCAGTTAGAGTGCCTTAAGGGACCGTTTCTCCACTACCAGGTCCATTGCAAATGAATGGTTTGCAGAGCACGGAAGACCTATTGGCATGCGAAGTGTTTACCGACGAATGAGAAGTTTTGGCTTGTTTTCATACCGGCCACACTGGATCCTCCCTTTATCTCGAGAACACCGACGTAATCGCCTTGAGTGGTGCAGACAACGGTCACTCTGGGATCAGGAATGGAACAGTATTGTCTTTAGTGACGAGTCTCGATTTTGTTTAGGCATGCACGATGGTCGTGCCAGGGTTAGAAGGCGACGTGGTGAAAAGAGGAATCCACAGTTTTTTGTTGAAAGACATGTTCATCACACTGTTGGAGTTATGGTTTGGGGTGCTATAGCTTATGGTTCCAGGTCACCTTTGATCTTCATCAGAGGTAACATGAACGCGCAGCGTTCTATCCACGAAGTTCTAGAACCCCATCTTTTACCCTATCTTGACACCCTGGCAGATCCAACTTTCCAACAAGATAATGCCCGACCACATGTTGCAAGAGTCACAATAGACTTCTTTCAACATAATGATGTCACTGTTACCATGGCCACCAAGATCTCCCGACTTATCCCCAATTGAGCACGTGTGGGATATGATGGGTAGGAGATTGCTCAATTTGCAACGTCCTCCTCAGACTCTAGAAGCACTTCGAGAGGAGTTGGTGGTTGCCTGGAATGAGATACCACAGGAGGACATTGACCACCTGATCAGAAGCATGCCTAGGCGCGTTGGAGAATGCGTAGCACATCAGGATGCATCCACACATTATTAAAGGTCAAAGGACTTTAAAGCAGTGCAATCATTTTGAAATTTTTATCATTTACTTATTATGCTTCATTAAGTACTTATACAAAATTTTATTAAAATAAAACCATTTAAACTGGGTGTTCGGATTTATATGTCACTTAGTATACATATAACAAATATAAAAATAATGGGCAAATTCTGCAAAAAGAAGTAAAGTGAGTTCGAGCAGAAAATAGGATAAGTAACCCGAGCGATACGTATTTCTGCTTGTTGGCTTCTTCAGGCCCAAAATGAATGCACATATGCAACCAGAAAAGTAGATACAAATGTCCATTATTCCGTATACGGGTGGAACCTGAGG